AACCAAAACCACATTCTGCCCTCATTCCAGTGGGCTCTTCAGTCCCATACGATCTGATTTTTCATAACAGGGTCTTGACCAAACTAATGAGGAAGGTCAGCCGTAAAAATAAGGATGCCTTCAAATCATATTGGGCAAAACGGCGATGCAGTGTCCCGTGCGGCCCGCGAGGTCCCCGGACCACCTAGACAAGGCATTTAGTTTGTGAAGTCTGGACACATTCCGAAAGCATTGGCTCACGAGTGTAGGGAAGAAGGAGCATCTCCTTTACAAAGCCCTACACCCTGTTGCACACACTCTCTCTCTCTGTGTGTGTTTGTGTGTGTGTGTGTGAGAGAGAGAGAGAGACAGACAGACAGACAGAGAGAGAGAGTTCTGCATGGTTTGCCAGGGTCCCGTGTGGTCTGAATCCCACCAGAGACTTGCTATCTGGCTCCCTGCACCCCTCCTTCCAGATCAGCAGAGATGGGGCTGCTTTCTGTGGGGCTCGGCGAGCGCATGTGGTAGGGAACCGAAGCGGTGCCCTCCTCCCCTGCACCCTGGCAGAGAGAGCAAAGAAGCAGAGGGAGAATCGCAGGCACAGAGCGAGCCCTGAATGCCGACGCTTGGGCCTCTTGGCACAGGCAGCTGCCCAGAGAGTCCTGCCAGCCTGAAAGCATCAGGTGGGTACCGCAGAGTCAAAAGAGCTTAAGCGCTGGGGTTCCTGGAAGGGAAGCCGGCTCTGAGATGAGCATGCAAGCCCTTGGGCCTGGGCAGTCAGTGCGCACCTCCTCATGCGCTTGCGCCTGCCTCTCAGAAGTGGGTCCCTCTGCTTTAAGCAAACAGGGGCAGCCGTCGGCCTCTTCAGCCGGATCCCAGTGGCCCTGCGTTTAGCAAAAAGGAATTCCGACTCAAGCCCATATTTTGGTCCCCGGGACAGCCAGTCTTCCCACCCATCCCCCATGTGTGAGCGGGCATGCACACCCACCCACCCACCCATTCACATGCACAGACCCCCTCCAGGCCTTCAGAAAGAAAGGCAGCCGCCCCGCCAGCTACTAAGCCTTCAATGGCTCTGTTTAGATTTTCTGCTCTGTTTGCTACCCCCCCTCCCCACGTGGCCCCCGGAATCCATGTATAAATAAACATGCCAATCCATTATAGGCCAGGAGAGATGTTATTTTTTCCATGCTAAACTATTCCAGACATCTCGGTTCACAGAAATTTTGCTGCCCGCTCTGGGAGGAGCTGAGAGCATAACCCAGGCTTAAAAGGGGGGGGGGGGTTAACCCTGCTGTGGAATGAATGCCTGGGGGGTTCAGGGCACAGGCTGATCCTGCTGTGGTTTTTGGGGTTAGGAGGAACCAGAGAGTCCTAGAACACAGTGGTGCTTAGTTCTTAGCTGTGCTTTGCAAGAATCGGAAAGTCAGAGAGAGGAACTGGGGTAAACAATGAAGCCTTAGTTCTAGGAACACACTACCGGCTAATTAACAATTTTCAGCCAGCCTCAAATCTATCATTAAATGCAGCTCACTGAGTATGGAATCTCGCATTAGGCACTCTGGGGATAATTACTGTACCACCAACCATCCCCGCCCCCTGAGCATCTGGTTGGATAAGTGGCCCGCCTTTTATTCCACCCCGGGTGACCGTTTGCCGCTTGTGATTTTTACTCCATTTGCACCCAGGACTGGGGGTTATCCCAAGACGGGCAAAGTGATGCATTCGTTCATTCCTCAGTTTGTTTATTTTTGCACACCTGCGGGATTTTTTTTGTTGTTGTTGTAGTGCAAATAAACAACCGTGCCCGTCTCTAGCGTGACCTGCCTGGTGCAGCTCTTTTGACAAACACGGGCTGTTTTCTTTGGTGGGGGGGCTGTGCCACTTCGGTAGGTATGTACTGAGTTTTGGAAAATCTGAAAATATTTGAAGTAGTCCGTTCACTGGCAGACTAAGATTTTTCTCTTCAGCCAGACTGTTTCCTCTCCACTCACTGGCTGCCTATGGGAGGGCTTTAAAAATTGTGCTGCGTTCTCTCTCTCTCTCTCTGTGTGCGTGTGCGTGTGCGTGCGTGTGTGTGTGTGTGTGTGTGTGTGTGTGTGTGTGTTTGTTTATGTACCTTTAAAACTAAGCCAGAGGGGTACTTCCAAAGAGGACCCAAGGAGCCGAGGGGCCACACCGGTGGAGGGGGGGGACAAGGCAGTGCCCCCTACCCCGAGAGGCCAAAGGTTGCCAGCTTCTTCTCTTGCTCACCCGCAGCCACACAGGCAGCTTGACCTGTTGAGTTAAACTCTCGTGGCTTTGTTCCGTTTCGGAAGAGCAAGTCAAGAAAGGGGAAAAAATTCTGTGAAAGTGAAAAGACACGTGGCCAGACTCGGCTCTTTTGCAGCCACCCCACCCCACCCTGGCCGAGGATGGTGTTTTTCCTTCCCCCCTCCCTCAAAACAAAGGGGATGCCATGCAAACTTCACTGTAACATTCAAGAGTGTGTTGACCTGTGTTTCTGAGAGGACGGTCATGGTTCCAGAACATTGGGGACCAACTCCGTGAGTTGGGTATTTGGCTGCCGAGCCAGAGGTTGGGAGTTCAATTCCCCCATTGGGCCTCCTCCTGCGAGAGGACCGAGCCAGCCTGGGTAGCCTTGGGCCAGATGCTCAGTGGCCCCGGAGCACCCCCCAGAAGAAGGGACGACAGGTCAACCACTTCTGAATACTGGCGACCTAGAACACCCTGGAAAAGGGTCGCCGTGAGTCAGAAATGACTTGACAGCACACAACAGCATCATGCTCTCGTTATCCACATAAAAAAGACCAAGAGAGACTTTACTTTTATCTCTTCCCATATTCATTTGTTCACCATTTTGTGCCACTGATGTTCATACAAAACTGCAATAATACAGCCTTTCTTTAATAATAATTCCTCATAAGTGTCAGGCGGTAGCCAGCATAAGGCCAGACAAGTGGAGTGTGACTCCCGTCTTGTTCCTCAAAGGAAGCCGCCAAGGTTGACTCTGTTGTTGGCGGAGGGCGGTGTTTTGCACACTGGCCTGCTGACCGCGTTTGCCCGGAGTTCTTGCTTCCTGGATAGCCGTGGGGTGAGGCAGGGATGGGGCTGGACAGGAGGAGAGACGTGGGGATGGGTGCTACCGATCCCACATCACTCACGCACAGGAAGAGGAAGCCAGTCCCGGCAGCCTCCCCGGAGAGCCTTGGCCCCGATCTCCTCCTCCGTGGAAGGCACAAATCCTGATTCCTGACAAAGCCCAGGAGATGGGTCTGCAGCAGCTGCCCCCCCAGCCCCCCTGACCTCTCTGTAGGTCAGCCAAGGGACCTTCCCTCCCCACCCCCGTACTTAGTTTTCAGACTGGCTCACTCACACGATCTAGCTAGGCAGAAGATGCAATTGGGGGGGGGCGTTTCCTGCCAAAGCCAAACGATGCCGTCCAGAAGAGCTTCTTGCCCTGAGCAGGGGAGGAGAGCGGCCGTTTGTCCTGGCTTCATCTGCTCTGGTCTTGAAAGCAATCGCAAACTTCGCCCGGCTGTTGTCCAATGCAGGTTGGTTGTTGTTGTTTTTCCCAAAACCCACAAAATAAATCTGAAACATTGTACAGTACTGTAGTTTGGACATATGTCTTCTGTTTAGGGATTTATTGGCTGGGGCCCCTCTTTCTAGGGATTTCATGTAGGACACGTTGCTCTTTCTCTAGTTTTACTGGCGTGACCTCGATGTCACTCCATTTCTACTGTGGCGGGCCATTGTGGTAGTGGAAGGGGCCGCGGGGAAATCTTCCGTTTTCCGAATGCTTCTGTAGGAGCTGGATTGGGGCCATACAGGGGCTGCCTTCCGCCCTGTCACCCTCTCTGCCGCCAGGGTTAGCCCTCCAGGCTGGCCAGGGAGGAGACTGGACGCTGTCATCCAAGTGAGGTTTTATTGCATTTATGATATAGTGGTTTATTTTATTGTCTATCATGAACCGTCAAGAGAGTAGCAAAACGAATGGAGTAGTACAGAAATGGAAATAAAGTAAAATAAAGCAAACAAAACAAGACAAAAGGGTCACGTTTCCAAGTATGCAATATAGATCAGCCATGCTCTGCCTCTGGAATGGGGCAAACTGGAACCAACTGGGAGATGCCTAGTTAGGGAAGCCACCTTGAATCCTTTTAAGGCGGGGTAAAAATATTTTAAATAAACTGCCTTTTGGAGTTGCCTCTTTCCTGGCTCAGGAGGTGCTCCAGGGCAGGCAGTGAGCCTGGTGTAGTGGGCAGAAGTTGAGCCTCTCTTGAGATCCTCCCTGTTCCCGTATTTGCCTGCGGAGACCGGTCATTTGGTTTCCCCATGCATGGATCCAGGGCGGCGGCAGTGGGGGGTCACATCAAGAGGACTTTGTCGCTTCCATTGCTTTGGGAAGCCCACACACACACTGCACCCCCATTTGGGACGAGACGGAGCACCCCCTTCCTCAGGATTCAAAATGCCATCCTCCCCCTCCTCCTCCATCAGAGCAGCCGCCCTTCTCTAGACCCACCCACCCACTCCAGACCTCTGTCCGAGGGGCTCACGGGAGGGCACGCTTGACGCTTGAGTGTTGCGGGTGCAAAAGGCGCCAGGTTTACGAATGCGGAAGGCGTTGCGGGAGAGGCGGCTTCTCTGCCTGCATTTTCCATGGCCTGGACTTGTTCACCTTTTGAGGCGAAAGCTTTGCAGGTCCCGTGATGCTTCTTGGGAGCCATGAAATCCGTTCTCCACATTTTCCCAGAGAGCCACTTGGCGTCTTTGGCAAAGCCTGTGGGTCGGTCTTGCAGATTTCTCCGCACGGAGAGCTCTGGGAGCCTGACCTTCTTCGCACCAAGTGACTCAGAGCAATCTGGTGCCTCGGTGGGTGTGGTGGGTGTGCTTCGCTGTGCCGGAGGGGGAAGATAGCGCACCGTAGCCCAAGTGCTAAGGATCTGTCCAGTAATGTGTGTCTTTCCTCTCCCTTTCCGTCTCCCTTCCCCTTCCCTGCTTTTTCTGTCGCTCAGATGCTGAGCCTCGTCTCCTGCGTCAGCAGAGTGGTGGTCCTTTCGGCGGCTGTTCTGGTGACCACGTCCATCACCATGTCAGGGGAATGGGGAGAAGAAGGTGAGCTAAGCAGCGGCCGAGTAGGACCACTTGGGGGCCCCCAGGGCATTGTTGGCAGAATTAGGGACAGGGAGGTGAGTCTTCGCAGGGTCAGGTCCAAAGACCTGGCACAGAAGAGATGAGAAGGTGGTGGGAGAAGAAGGCTTCAGGGAAGAGCCAGAGATGGCTTTGGCCAGCTGCCTTCTCAGGCCAGGAATCTTGCTACGGCTTGGCCATGACTTCCATTTGGACATGCGGGACGGAGGACAAGCTAGCCTCTTCCCCGTTCCCACTCTTGTTGTCTTGTGTGACGAGGGCAAACGTCTGCAGCAGGTGGTCTTTTCCAAAGACCACCACAGTCCTTGGAAACTTCTGTGTCAGCTCCGCCAACATCCAACCCACAAAGTTTTTCCTTTAAAAAAAAAACCCTAAGAGCTCCCTCTTGCCCTCTAGTGGTCAATAAAATATATTGAAAAGCCAATTTTAATTGGGGAGGGCATGGTGGCCTCAAAGGTGCTGGGAAGCTCTCAGAGCACAGCAGAGTTGCTCTCCAAGCTCCCGGGAGGGTGACAAGGAGACTTTGGAGGGAGGAGGGGCATTTCTTAAAAACATGGGGTGGGTTTCTGTGGGGCTATAGGATCTCTGAGGACATGGAGCCTCCTTCCCACTTTTCTCTGTAGCCCAGGTTGGGTGGGTGGCCCCATTCCCAGATTCTGAGGCTGCTGTTTTCCAGCCTAAAAGGGGCCACCGAAACAGTGATCTTGGCAGAGAAAAAGGCCCCTTGCTGCTCCCAGAAGCCCGGCTTCCATTTTCTGAGCAGGAGAGTATTTCCTGGTTAGACTTGTGTGCCACTTTTCCTCCAGTGAGGCCAGTGTCTTCCACCTGGCTTTATTATCACCAAAACAAAAAAACCACACACACATTCCTGCAAGGTAGATCAGACTGAGAGAGAGAGAGAGAAGGTGTGTGTGTCACCATGTGACGCCACCCCATGAGCTTCATGGTTCAAAGTAGGGCTCGTACCTGGATCTACCCAACACACTTCACTGCTTTACCACACTGGGTGGGGGGGGGGACAAAAAACCCCCCACCCTCTCTGCAGAAGTTTACCCCCAGCTTACCCTGGGTGGGGGCAGCGAGGGAGGGAGGGAAGTGCCTCAGTGATGCTCCCTGTTTCCCTGCATTCAAGCTGCTCTGCTCTGGTCGGTGGTGGGGCCGAAGGGGGAGTGTCTTCCCCCTCCGGCAGGACTACCTGAGGTGCAGGTAGGGTTGGGGTGGAAGACGCTGGGGGGGACCCCCCTCTGTGCCTTGCAAGGGAATGGCTGCTCTTCACCCACCAAAGGGCTGTCTTCTTGCAAGCCCAGAAAACGGAGAAGTTTGGGGCAAGTTCCTTTTGGGGACAACGACTCCTGGGATTTTCTGGCTGAGTGGCTGGGGCATTCTGGGTCATGTAGTCCGAGCTCTCTTGACCACTTTGGGCCAAGCGGTTCCTTCCGGCTTCCTTCCTCTTCTTGGGCCCCTCGAAGGAATCCCAGTGTGGCCTCCTTTTGAGACAGGAGGGCCCGTGGAGCATCTCATCCTTTGGACGTGATCTATTTGGTGGGTCTCCGGGCAAGGCAGGAGAGGGGCAAAGGGGCAGGATAACATCCCCATGAGACCCAGGATATCCAAAGGGGTTTGGCCATGCCCGGTCCAAGAGCCTTCCCCCCTTGCCACCCCTTTCTCATGCTCCTGGCCTTCTCTTCCAGGGGTGACGTATGGGCAGCTGGGAAAAGACGTGATGCTGACGTGCGCCCGAGGGAGCCCCGGGTAGGTCTCTGCCAGCGATCCTGGCCCCGCGCGGGGAATTGTGTGACGTCTGTGGTGAGAGAGAGGCTGATGCCTGGGGGTGGGGAGGAGGAGTTGAGTCTGCAGGAACAGTTGCAGGGGAGTGTGTGTGAAGGCATGCTAGGAAGTGACACCGGATCGGGGCCTCTCTGGCTGCTTTGCTTCCTGAATAAACCGAAAAGGGGCAGCTGGTTTAAAAGCAAGATCAAAGTAACCTCTCCTCAGGCTCTTGTTTAGAGAGACTAGGGAAGAGAAAACAGTCTCGGAATGGAGCTTGGAGAAGCTACGTTTCCACACAGGGTGGGCAAAAGTTACTTCGAGGCTGGCCCGTGCTGGGAGTTCTACGCCCCCAAGAGTAACTTCTCAGCAAAGCCGTGCGCCTTCCGCTGCCCCTCCCGGTTCTCTGCTCGAGCCTCACGGCATCTCTTTCTGCTTTCTAGCTCTCCGGTGGAATGGCGCTGGAGTGAGGCCACGGCCCTGCCCGCTGGCTCCATCGTCCAGCAGGGTCAGCTCCTCCTGCCGCGCGCCGAGCGCTCCTCCGAAGGCACCTACAGTTGCCACGATGCCAATGGGCTGCTCCTCAGCTCTGTCACCCTCCGCCTCGGCCGTACGTTTCGGGGGCTCCTTGGGCTGGAAGAGAGGGGAGGGGAGGGGGTCCCTGAGGGTCTCCCTGTCGGGGACCCTTCCTGTGCAGGGCTTGGAAAAGTGGCTCTTTCAGATGACACACTTGGGGGTGTGCGTGGGTGGGTGGGGGAGTGGTGTAAAGCTGCCACCCAGGAAAGGGGGCACTTTTCCAGCCTTGGAGGAAGGAGCCATTTTGGGGTGGGGTTGAGGTGCAGCTGAAGCTGAGCCTGGCCCTCCCTGGGGCAGGAGGTGTGTGTGGGTCTCGAGCTCCGATCCCTGAAGACTTTTCCTCCAAAGAGCGCCTTGCCTTCACCCGCAGGTGTCCCAGGACTGCCCTCCATCTCCTGCAGAGCCTCCAACTACGAGAACTTCTCTTGCGTCTGGGCTTCCAGCGTGGAGACGTTTCTGCCCACCAGATACATCACCACCTACAGGTAAGGCTTGTGCGTCTGGCACTCCGCGTACGTTGTGTCCCCGCCTCTGCCGTAGCATCTTGGCCGTTGCAGGCCGTTGCCGGGTTTTGTCAAGAGGCCCCTTCCCTTTTGGGAGAATGGAGCCGGCAGGAAACAGCCAGCGAGTTTTGACACACCCTCTCTTTCTTTCTTTCTTTCTTTCTTTCTTTCTTTCTTTCTTTCTTTCTTTCTTTCTTTCTTTCTTTCTTTCTTTCTCCCTGCCTGATCTGCCAGCCAACGTAGACCAAAGCTCCATGCCACCCTTTTCCCCTGGTGCCCACAGTAGCACCAACAGAGTGTGGTCTTTCTTTTCATCCAGTGCAAAATAAACAGGGGCCTTGAGGGGACCTCCCTCTTCCTTCCTTCCTTCCTTCCTTCCTTCCTTCCTTCCTTCCTTCCACATCTGCATCCCATAACCTGCCACGCTCCCTGACCACCCGTGGCTGTTTCACTGCAGCCGAGTCAGGCCAGTGGTTGAATGGCCTTCCCTCCCTGCCTGGCAGGTGATTCGAGCGTGGCGTGCGCTGCCTTTGGCCACCACGGGCTATCCTGAGCGAGGAAAGCAGTCCTGGTTCTAAAAGGTTACCATCTGAAATTCAGTTCTGAGGCCATCATCACGTGTACCTTGACCTTGAACCTGGGTTTCTGGGTTTGAAAGCATATCATTCTCTGGCTCAAATGAACGTGGAGTCCACAGAGCCATTTTGCTGCATTTCCGCAGCGGCGCCACGGATGGAGGGAGAGATTGAACCGTGGCCCCAGCCGGTCGGAGCCATCCCTGGGTCAGCACGGGGAGGGAAAGGGGAGAGGGAGCCCCGCCCTGGCCCTGCGCCTCTCCCTCCCCTCCCCACATTATGACTAAATGTTCTCCGGCCCCGCGAAGGGGAGCCGTCCGCTCTCTTACTTTCCAAGCCCAGTTTGTGGCCGGCGGCCTTTGGCATGGAGGCCTTTCCAAAAAAACCAGATCACGCGGGTTTCCATCTCTTCTTCCAGATCAATACTCACAGAAAGAGTAGGCTTCCCAGAGAAGGGGAGGTTGTGCGTGCCTGTGCACGCAGGCGCTGCGGCTTGCATAGAAGGGGGCTCCCGTTGGCCACCCAGCATTCCAGAAGGGTGGAGTCATGGCGCTGAGGCGTGCAGAGAGGATGGATCTGGGCCAAATGCAGCTGGCCAGCCAGCCGGTCAGCAAGGGAGAAGCCCTTTGGCCACACGCCTTCCCCTTTGGTCAACGTTAGAAAGGACCAAGAGCCACGTTCTCTTGTGCAAAAGGTTAGGGTCAGGCCCAGAATGGAGGCCTGAGCCATCCAGGGCAAACACGGGTGGCTCACGTACGGGGGATCGGGCTCCCTGGTTTACTCGCCGGGGTTGGGTAAGGTGAGCTCAGCTGCCTGTTCGTCTCAGTTCAGGAGCAGACCCAGAGGACTGTGCGATCCGCCCGTCCATCCCAACATTCCTCCCATGCGAAGGGGAGCCGTCCGCTTTCTTACTTTCCAAGCCCAGTTTGAGGCCGGCGGCCTTTGGCATGGAGGCTTTTCCAAAAAAAAAAAAAAAAAACGCGTGTTTCCATCTCTTCTTCCAGATCAATACTCACAGAAAGAGTAGGCTTCCCAGAGAAGGGGAGGTTGTGCGTGCCTGTGCTCGCAGGCGCTGCGGCTTGCATAGAAGGGGGCTCCCGTTGGCCACCCAGCATTCCAGAAGGGTGGAGGCATGGCGCTGAGGCATGCAGAGAGGATGGATCTGGGCCAAATGCAGCTGGCCAGCCAGCCGGTCAGCAAGGGAGAAGCCCTTTGGCCACACGCCTTCCCCTTTGGTCAACGTTAGAAAGGACCAAGAGCCACGTTCTCTTGTGCAAAAGGTTAGGGTCAGGCCCAGAATGGAGGCCTGAGCCATCCAGGGCAAACACGGGTGGCTCACGTACGGGGGATCGGGCTCCCTGGTTTACTCGCCGGGGTTGGGTAAGGTGAGCTCAGCTGCCTGTTCGTCTCAGTTCAGGAGCAGACCCAGAGGACTGTGCGATCCGCCCGTCCATCCCAACATTCCTCCCGAAAAAAATGCCTCCCCAGGATTGACTCACGGTCCAGGCAGCCCCTCCCCAGATGTTTGAGGAGCCGTTCCTCCCTCCTGCTGATCAGGAGCTAGAGACCCATAGCATTGAGAGGGGCAAAGTGGGGCAGGAGAGAGGGGCTACTCTCCCTGTCGTGTCGCCCATTTATGATCGGACGACTGCTAGACTCTCTCCATTCCAGCCACGCCCGCCCAAAAGCATGAGCCCTCAGGACCAGCAACATGAACGAACCCTTCCTATAGTCCGCAGGGTATATAAAATGATATTCTTGCCTTGCACATGTTTGAAACATGTGAGACGATGTAAGCAGTTAAAAACCTTTAAATCTGTTTTAAAGAACCCCACAACCTATTCAAGCCAAGATCCTTAAACCCCAAAGACTCTGGGGAACAGCAATGTTTCAAGTCAGCAGAATGAAAATAACTTCAGCGCCAAGTGAGTCTCTCAAGGGGAAGGATTCCCCAGCCAAGAAAGGCGTCGCCTCCCTCTTTCCACCGTGCCCTGTTCACGGAGACCCAGCCCCCCCAGATATTAATGGTCAGGCGGACCCACGTGTTGGCACCCATCAAATCGCCTTTTCAGCATTTTACATCTGTACCAAAAATCTATTCCACAGAAATGGGATGAGAGTGCATGTCATGATCAGCACTCCCTCTTTTCTGAAGAAACTAATCCTGGTGTTTTTTCCCTACCTTTGGAAAACACAAGATAAATGAACATTCATCTTTAGCGAGATTTTTCTTTGGACTATAGAAAGGTGTGTTTTTTTGAGGGTTTTTTTGCATTTTTCTTTGATAAAATCTTTTGGTCAGTTGCATTTTATAATGCAAATTGGTTCTTTAAAGTCTTCAGGAATATTGTTTAAATTGTATTTTGGCACTGTGATTGTTTAGCATTCCTCTTCAGCTTTACTGTGGTTTTTAATATTCATGGTCTATACCACAGCCTGCCCCTGGTTATTTATTTATTTATTTATTTATTTATTTATTTATTTATTTATATTATTTTAATTATATATATGTTTGTTGTTAACCGCCCAGAGTGGTAGAATATACCAGATGGGTGGGATATAAATCAATCAATCAATCAATCAATCAATCAATCAATCAATCAAACAAACAAACAAACAAACAAATATTTATTGTTTTTTGTTTGTTTGTTTTGGCAAAGAAAACAGAGCATCTCCATCTTCTGTGCCCAGCTATGTAGTCTATCTGATTTTTAGACTGGCAATCTGGTTATCTACGTATAGGGATACAACCATCTCTTCAGCTGCTTGAAGCATGTATATGCATTAAGCAGACTATTGTTTACAGAGTTCTGTGAGTTTGTTCTCCAGCTTCCTTTCTTACTTTTAGGTTAAATCCTCCAGCAACATTTGTTTCTGCTTTCTTTCCTCCTTTTGCATTCTAGTCACCTATGATTATCAGCACCTCTTGTTTTGGTGTGTGATCAGTTTCGTCCTGGACAATTTCATAAAAGCTTCCAGTTTCTTCTTCTTCTTCAGCGTCTGTTGCTGGAGCAGAGACTTGAATGCAGGTTAGGCTGAGAAGCACTGCATGAAGTCGGAGGGATACTATTTGGTCAGACTTCATATTACATTAAGTTCCAGCAGCTCGCACTGAAGCCAGATTTCTTAACCTAGTCTTTTTCTTTCCTTTTCCAGGAAAAAACATCTGCCCGGAAGTGAGGAGCAAAGGTAAGACCTAGAAAATTTTGCAATCTAGTGCTGTATTAGGCTTCGACTACTCAGGTGCTTAAGAATGTTTCTCCTAACCTTGCACCAAATTCCTCCTCTAGACTTCAGAGCAACTAATTGCAAATAATAGTTTCTTTAAGTTAATGAGTAATGCAATGGATAATTACAAGGGTATGAGAAAGCTGCCCCTAACCTTGCATCAAAATCCCCCTGCAGAGCTCAGACATACTTAAGTAAACTGTTTGTTAACTGTTTCCTTTCAGGTAATTAGTAATATGATAAGTCATTACATAGTTATAGCAAAATAATGCAACAAGTAGCTACAAAGGTACTTGTCAGTGTAGCAAGCAAGGTTCTCTAGTAACAGTACTTTCAAAAATTTGAAGGGTGTTATAAGGCATTTTTAACAGAATTATAACGTTTTCCCCCACTTTTATGCCATTTTCTAAATCCTCGTTCTCATTGTTTGAATTTTTGTAAATATTTGCAGGGGGGCACTATCAAAATGAATCGATAGGGGGACTCAGTAGGTGACTCCTGCTATTCTTCCTGCCTGTGGGCAATGACAATTTATTATTTTATTTATTTTATTTAAAATATTTTTGCATCACATGTAACACAACACATTAACAACATGCCGTTCAACAAATTACTTATGTAACCGGAGCAGTGGCCGTCTGGGTGCCAAACAGTAGATGTGGCCAGATCCTTTTTTTAAATGGCCTTTCGCTCTCATATGGATCTATTCCTTCTGCCTCTGTCTCTAATACTGTTGAGTTTCCTGCTTTCTCCTTCCGACATTCTTTCAAATATTTACGATCTGTTAGCTATAATATGGTTTCATTTGTATCCCTGCCATTCTAACAATATATACTGAAGATAGATCTGTTCTTTTGACTACCCCCTTCCCAGAAAGATGCGGGAGGCGTATTTATTTATTTTATTTATTTATTGGACTTATATACCGCCCCATAGTGCTACAAGCACTCTCTGGGCGGTTTACAATTTAATTATACAGGCTACACATTGCCCCCCCAGCAAGCTGGGTACTCATTTTACTGACCTCGGAAGGATGGAAGGCTGAGTCAACCTTGAGCCGGCTACCTGGGATTTGAACCCCAGGTCGTGAGCACGGTTTTAGCTGCAGTACAGCGTTTTAACCACTGCGCCACAAGGCTCATCTGGCGTGGCTGGATTTTATTTTTCACCCACCTTTTTTAAGCAACTCATAATAACTACTGTTTAAACCTGTATTTGGTCACCTCCCTATGACGGTTAAACAAGCTTTAAGGATCACAGTGAGAATATTAGAGAGACAGAATGGTTTCGAGTCAGCAGAGGTGTCAAACAAGGGTGCCTTTATCCCTTGAGCACCCCGTGAGGAGGCAGGAGTCTCTAGAAAAGACTATCGTGCTGAGAAAGGTGGAAGGCAGCAGGAAAAGAGGAGGAGAAAAATATGAGAGGGACTGGCTCTCTAAAGGAAGCCACAGGTCTGAGTCTGCAAGATCTCAGCAGGGCTGTTGAGGCCGGGACGCGCAGGAGATGGCGCATTCCTAGGGTCTCCAGGAGTTAATGCCTTTTGCATTTCTGTTGCCCGACGCATCCCTCACCCATATGCCCATAAAGGCCTGTCTGCTGAGGCTACATGAATCTGAACCTGTGAGGCGCGCCCCATGAATGCTTCTACCGAATGAACTATGCCGGCCTCTGGAAGCCCCACAGAATTCTCTGCCGGACCGGCTGTCGTTTTTCCGGCCTGGCTGCAAGACTAAGGACCCGCGGGCGCGCTCTTTGCCCTGGCAGCTGACCACGCACACATCCCGGTGCTTTTCCTCACAGGGACTCGGGGGGGGGGCTCTTTTGCCCAGGAAGGTCATCGTGAGCCTTGGAAGTGGGGCAGGGTGGCGGCTCCCCTTCTTTTCTGCCTTGCATGCTCAGCTCAGCCGGGGGGGGCAGCTCGCACACCATTGCGCGGCTGTGCCGTTGCTTAGGTCCCTCCGTGTCGGGAGGAAGGGAGGGCGATGCACTTGGAAACCTTCCTGCCGTCTTCTGGGAATGCAGAGGCATGCGCTGGGGCTGAGCCAGAAACCCCCCGGGGAGGGGCTTTCTCTCTGCCACGACCTGCTCTGTGCATGTGCACACACTTCTGCACGCCAGGCACCAGCAGACGATGCTCCTGAAGAGGGATAGGAGAGGGGGGCCCCTGGGCCAGAGGCGGTGGCCGCTGTCTGGGCTCTGGAGCAGCCTCCCACCCCTGGAGTCTTCCTGATGTGGGGGGCTCTTGCTCCCACCCGCCCCAACCAGCCCCAACACAGTTGCAAGGACAACACCAGGCGGGGACCCAGATCGGTCTCCTGCCTTGTCTCTGGTGGTGGTGGTGGGGGGGACGACACATCTCCGCCTCGCCTCCCAGGGCACAGACTGGGAAAAGTGACTCCAGGCCCTTTCCCAGCCTGCAGCCCCAAGACCTCCCTTGGATCAGGGGCAACGTGGCAGCCCTCTGACCCCTCCGCAGAAATCCTGGTCCAGTGGTGGCGGGGGTCTCTGTGTGTGTGCGCGTGTGGACTTTGGGTTTTTATTAAATCCTTGGGCTTTGTGCCGTTCCGTGCTTTGTTTCCTCATTTTGCAGTCACTCCTGTCATGAATGGCACAGAGCTCCCCCCGAAGACTATATGACAACTATATGACCCATTTTTGTCATAATTTGCTTCTTTTTCTTTCTGCGTGTCTGGAAGAGAGAGAGAGAGAGACGCCTCCCATCTCTGAGAAGGAAGGGGCGAGCGTTAACCTGCCTTTCTCCCGTAAAAAGACCCAGGGGTCCCGAGGGAGGCTGGCCTGGCCCCCTCCCTCTCGGCCTTCTGTCCACCCTCAGGTCAGGGACCTTTCGATTCAAACTGGGCTTTGGCAACTGGCGGTCTAGAAGAGCAGACCGCAAGGGTGTTTTATTTATTGTACTCCCTTTTTTTTCACTGACCCATATGAATTATGCTTTTAATTTTTGATGGCCTTCTTTGTTTTTCATGTATTTTTATTCCCTCATATTGTAAACTAGTCTAAAGAGGGACATGGTGGCGCTGCAGGTTAAACCGCAGAAGCCTCTGGGCTGCAAGGTCAGAAGCCCAGCTGTCGTAGGATCGAATCCATGTGACGGAGTGAGCTCCCATCGCTTGTCCCAGCTCCTGCCAACCTAGCCATTCGAAAGCATGTAAAAATGCGAGTCGATAAATAGGGACCACCACGGTGGGAAGGTAATGGCGTTCTGTGTCTAGTCCCACTGGCCACGTGACCACAGAAGCAGTCTTTGGACAAAACGCTGGCTCTATGGCTTGGAAACAGAGATGAGCACCACGCCCTAGAGTTGGACACGACTGGACTAAATGTCGAGGGGAACCTTTACCTTTACCTATTGTAAACTACCTGAGTTCCAGTTCACGGAGACACAAATGAGAGGGCATTCTCTGTGGCTGCTACGAGACTTTGGAACTCTCTCCCACTGGAGACCGACCTCGTCCCGTCTTGACTGTCCTTCCCGAAGCAGGCAAATACACATTTCTCTCCAGGCAGGCTTTCCTTAAGTGACTGGTTATCTAAGAAGGTTTTTTAAATGAAGTATTATGTCTTGTTGCTTTTAAATGTGTTTTTAATACTGTTTTTATCTATCTATCTATTTATTTATTTATTTAGATTTATACCCCATCTAGACCAAAGGTCTACTCTGTATCTATTATTTTTAATATATTTATTTAATTGTTTTTATATGTATTGTAATCATTTATTATTTTTAGCCTTTAGTGTCATTTCATTGGAAGCCGCCTGGAGTCCTTTTTAGGAGAAATTCAGAATATAAATATTTTAAATAAATAAAGGAACGAATCTTCTCCTTGCTTTTGTACGGCCAGGTCTCCAACCACCGACGTGGGTCTGTGCATCCAGGATCCGATCCATCCCTTCTCCTGCACCGTCAGCAAGTCCGGGTTCTGGAGCTCCTACCGCATGAACGTGACGGAGGTGAACCCACTGGGCTCCAGCTTCCGCCTCCTGGACATCATCATGAAAGATATTAGTAAGTCCGGCACCTGGAAAAAAAAAAAGAAGGAGGGAAGCCTTTGAGCCGGTCAAGCGTCCTTCTGGGCCGATGAAGCTCATCGGCCTCCATGGATTCAGCCGTCCTGGTGAGGACGAGTCAGGGCGGAGATGGGAAGGAACGGGGAAAACATGAGAACTAGAAACTTGAAAAGGGGCTGTAAAAAGGCCATTCGGGCAACGACAGGGACCTGTCTCTTCAGGAAACTCAGACAAGGTTTCCTCTAAATCAGTGGTTCTTAACCTTTGTTACTCGGATGTTTTTGAACTGCAACTCCCAGAAACCCCAGCCAGCACAGTTGGTGGTGAAGGCTTCTGGGAGTTGCAGTCCAAAACTCCTGAGTAACCCAAGGTTAAGAACCAGTGCTCTAAATGACCGGCTGACCAAGAGGGTTCTTTTAAGGGACTTTTTTTTAAAAAATTCTCTTGTTTTACTTGTGTTTTCAATACAGCTCTTCCTTATGAGTTGTAATCTGATAAACTTCTTAAAATTGTAATAATTTTTTCATGTAGCTTTTAATTTTGTTTCTTTTAAAAAGAGTAAGCTGCCTCGGATCCTTCAGGGCGAAAGGAGGCACGCAGATATTTTAAATAGATTATCTGGCAGCTGCCCATATTATACCTGGTGTTATGAGAAAGTCGGAGAGGCTGCCTGCCCCTTTGAGGGACGTTGTCCCGTAGCTTTGGCTCCCTGCCTCAGTTTCTTCAGGCTCTCCACACCCCTGGGCTGCTCCCCCCCGACCCCCCCTACACCCCAAGCTGACCCAGCCCAAGGGCGGCTGGATCCACAGAGGGCAGGACTCCACACTCACACACACACCCTCTCTTTTCTTCTCCCCAGTCAAGCCAGACCCCCCGGAGGGCCTGCGGGTGGAGCCCGTGCCCTCAGCCCCCCGGCGGCTGTGGGTGAGCTGGGAGTACCCCTCCACCTGGCCCAAGGAGCCCCACTTCCAGCTCCGGTTCCGGCTCCAGTATCGGCCCGTCATCTACACCTCCTGGTCTGTGGTGAGTCGAGGGCTCAAGGGGCAGAGGGCTGCACAAGCATGCCCCCCCTCCATCGGGGGCAGCAGGTGTCACTGGGGCGGGGAGCTATTTTTCCGTTCCTGCAGCTGGTGGGGCTGCTTCGGGTGGTCTTTTCCCCCTGCTTTTCTTCCAACTCTGGGACTCTGAGCAAGAGGGAGCAGAACACAAAACCCCATGGGCACAAGGGCTGTGGAGGTTTTCCTGCTCTTGAAAAGTTGTGCCCTGCACTTCATGCCATGCCCCGTGGCAGCTGGAGAGCCTCGTGGCACAGGAGTTAAACTGCAGTACTGCAGTTAGGCCTCTGGTCACCACCTGGGTTCGATCCGGATGAGCTCAGGTAGCCAGCTTGAGGGTGCATCAGCCTTCCAAGGTCAGCAAAATAAATATCCAGCTCACCAAGGGCTGCCAGTAGATAGCCTGCAGAATAAAATAATGAAATTGTAAACTGCCCAGAGAGTCCTTTAAGCACTATGGAACGGTGTATAAGCAGCACACTTTGCTTGTCTACTTGGTAGTGCTGAGTGCCAAAGCCGGTAGCTTAGGGTTGTCAAGAAGAAGACCAGGAAGGGATCAAACCTCCCTCATCAATCCCTGGCCCGCAAAGAGGAGGAACTGCAGCACCCTTTTCGCTGTCAAGATGGGGAGGAATTTCCTGCTGCATTCATCAGAGTTCTTGCATTGCTGAGAATGAGACTTTGCACCAACAAATGCTTTAAAATTTTTCCTTTTGCCACAAAATACACGGACTGTGCAGTGGTGCAAACTGGCCCGTATTCAAGTGATTTCTGCCTTATTTAAGAATGTGAAGCTCTAAAATGGCTGGTCAGCTCAGTGGTTGAGCTACCTGGCCACGGAGCCAAAGGCCATGAATTCGATTCCCCATGGGGCCTCCCAGAAGTGTCAGCCTCTGTGGTCCTGGAGCAAACGGCGCTGTCCCAGAAGAAAGAAAGGGCCAGCCAGGTGTGTGTGTGTATTCTCTACCCAGAAAAGCCCAGAAAGGTGGCCTTACAGCACATAGTTATCCTTATTACTGAAGCACCAAATGGGTTGTTGCTCCGTTCCCAGGAGAGCAAGAGCGAGCATGCTCTGGAAACATTCCCCATTTCTCACCCAGGTGGTAACGTGCATCAGCAGGAGGATCCTGCGTAAAACTCTTGAGTTGGCCACAGACTCAACAGCTAGCCTTGCCATCTTCTGGTACGAGTGGAGAGCATCCGTCCCTGGCATCCATTTTTGGTCCTTTCCAAAGGGACACGGCCCTTTCTCGTGGTTCCATAGCCTGGTGGTGGTTTTCCAGCTTTCCTGTGGGGGCTCCCCATCTGAAGCCTGGTGGTTCACGTGCAGGAAGGGATTTACAGCAAAACAGGCTGGCCTTCGGGGTGCCTCCTTCTCTCCCCCTGCCCATTTCCTTTTGGCCCTGCCCTGCCCCGCCCTCCCTTCGAATGTGCAAAGAAATCTAGAACTGAATTTGGCTTTTGGGTGGAAAGAGTTGCCCCTTTGCCTTCACGTGAGCTGACTCTCCGCAAGGCAGAAGGACCCCCGCCTGGGGAGGAGAGGGGCTGACGGCTGCCTCTGCCCTGGGTTGCTGCAGGTGGAGACGGCCAACGTCTCGGAGGTGATCACGGACGCCTTCATGGGCCTGGAGCACGTCGTCCAGGTCAGCGCGAAAGACTTTCTGGACGCCGGCAACTGGAGCGAGTGGAGTGCCGAAGCCTGGGGCGTGCCTGCGGAGGGTAAGGGGCTCTGGGCCAGGTGGAAGGAGGGCCGTACTAGGAGGGAGGGAGGTGGACGTGGCTGTGGACGCCTCAGTGGCGCATGGAAAAACAGGGGGACCTCGGAAGAGGCAGCCTGTGGAGGCTCCTCACCTGCCACCTGGGTGAGAGAGTCGGTGCTGTTTTCCATAAGAGGTCCAGCATCTGCAGAATGCAGATTTCTTTAACTCCTCTGCCAATATGGTGCAAACCAACAAGAGCGACTGGCTTTTTCGCCCAAAAGTTTAAAAATGGGAAGCACAGGACAAGTTGCTTGCTTTGTTTTGAGCCGTCTGCCGGTCCTCTCCTGCTTTGCTGGGTGCGCCCAAAAGAAAAGGGCTCATTTTACACAAATTGGGGGAAACCTTGATCGATCGCAAGAGACGGACGCCTTTCTTTTGCTCTCGGGTTGGGAGGGCGAGGAAATCGGGCAGGGTTTAGCAAACTCTGGACCGGCTCTCCTGACCTGTCACGGACCAGCAGTTGCCAAATAAGTACCTCTCTGGCCTCCTGTCGCTTCCCAGCGTGACCAGCCCTTTGGGATAAGGGGAGCAATCCCTTCCTCCTTCTCCCGCAGGTCCTCTGTCACCCCAGGCCTCGAGCAACAGTCCGTGGTCCCTGTTGGTGGCCACGAGGGGCTTCTCCCTTTCTGTTGAATTCCCAGGCCTGCCTCCCCCACCAGGTGCCCCCCAGTGCCTTGCTTCTTCCTCCCAGCGCCTCTCTCCTCTCTCCTCAGAGCAAGCGGTGCTGCCCAGTGAAACAGCCACGGTGGTGTGCGAGCCGGAAGGTCCCGCCGAGGAGCCCTCCCTGGCCCCCAATGAGCCGATCGGTACGTACATCAGCAGACGTCACACAGACCCTGCGCGGGAAGTGACGCTGGGCGGGTGGAGGCAGGAGAGGGGCACGGAGCATGGAGAACTTGCTTTGGGGGGGGGGTTGAATACCCCGCGCGGGAAGTGCCGCTGGGCGGGTGGAGGCAGGAGAGGGGAGCATGGAGAACTTGCTTGGGAGGGGGGGTTTGAGGCTCCCTGAAAAACCCACCCGCAGACCCGCCAGCCAGCCCGGGGTCTTTGAGCAGCTGGGACTTCTGTCCCGGGGACCCGTCCTCACAGCCCCTCGTCCTGGACGCCTTTGCGGGAGAAGCGACCAGTACCGGGTCTTCCTTCTGCCTCCAGCAGGTCGCCCTGACCCGGCAGAGAAGGTGGCGGTGCTGGTGTCGCTCGGCGTCTTCGCCTTCTTAGTCCTGGCGGTGATCCTGGCGTTCGCCTTTCTGATGTGGTGAGTGGCCAGCTTGGCTTTTGCTGGGTAACGTGGGGAGACCCCTTGGCTGTGGAGGGAGAGGGACCGCAGCTGCCCTTTCCTCTTGACCCTTTGGGATGCATTTAAGTGGGTGACCCCGCCTGCCTGCAAGGTTTTCTTAGCAGCCCAAGGTCAGGACCCAGGACAGCCAGCGACCAAGCACCGGTGGGACCCCTGACAGGGCCCAGGCCAGGCGGTCCGGCAAAGACCTCTTTCCAGTCTGCTGCCGGCTTTTTCTTCTTCTGCCTGGCGATGATAGCCTCACCCACGGCCGGGCGCCAGGCCCAGTCTCTTGTGTCTTTTTGGCCGGAGTCCACCTTGATTCTGGAGCTGATCCACCCCAAACAAGACAGAAATTGCTGGTGTCGCCAGAGGTGGAGCTGGGAGATGAAACGCAGATGCCGAGAACGGAAATCCGGAAGCTGGCCTGGCGCTCCAGAGGGCAGAGCAGCAGAAGGGCTGGGCTGCCCTGGCACACGCCAAGAGGCCAGCGGAGGCCCTGGCCTCCTATTCCCACCGGGGGGGGTGGGGGGACAGCCAGATGCTTCTCGGAAGCAGCAGAAGGCTCTGGGCAGCTCGTAGGCCCAGCAGAACAGCCTCCGCGCTGGGAGCTGCTGGGACCGGCAGCCAAGAGAGGCATAAAACCTCGGCCCCCGCTGCCCTCGCCCTCTCCTCGGCGATCATCCCCAGTTCGACTCTCCAGGTGGCTCCTTGGTTTCCTGCTGCATTTGGTAAAATGCCAGGGATCGGCAGACCAGGCTCCAGAGGGAACCAGAACAAAGCAGGCTTTAGGGGGAGGGCCACGGCTATGCAGAAAAGTCCCCCGGGTCCAGTCCCCAGCGGCAGCCTCTCCCGGGGTGGGGAGCTGTGGCGGCCAGTTCAGGGGTGGGGACCTCAGCCCTGGGAGCGACTCTGACCCTCCTGGGGACCCAGGATTCTGAACCCCCTCCCAGGCTTCACTCTCTGGCACACCCCTGTCCCCAGAATAGCATCATTTCAGTACAGTACCTTCTGGGCCTTTGCACGGAGGGGATTTCCCGTCTGAAGGCCCATCCGAAGCATTTGCCTACTGGCGTCCATATGAGACTCAGGCTGAAATACGCACGTGTTTTTGCCTTACCCCTTCACCCTTAGCCCTCCTCAACCCTGGAATGTAACCCACCCACACAACAGCAGCTTGGCTGTGTCTGGCAGCCAGTTTTCTCACACACACACCCAGGACCTTCGGGGAGGGGGGGCACCTAGACGGTCCAAATGCCTGCAAAGCTCAGAATATAAAATCCAAAGTGACTAGAGGCCGCCTCCAGCTTAGGAGACTTGATGTGTTGCTGAAACTGAATTTCAGGAGAAATTGAATTTCAAAGAAGTCTTTTTTGCACATGGTGGGGGCTGGGGTATACCTTCCAGTTCAGGAGAACCGTGCCACCTCCTGGAAGGGAAAATTGCTGTTCCCGGAAGCCTCCAGGAATTTCAGCTCACGAGAAAAGTAGAGGGGAGAAGGGAGACAAAGAGTCGGCTTGGCATGGTAGCTGCAGGGGGCAGCTCCCGGGGCAGTCCTTGGCCAATGCCTGGCGTAGTTCTGCAGACTCTGCAGAAGGATCCGTCCTTTGGAAGGGGTGGCCTCTCTCCACATGTCCGGTCCTCCGGCATGCATCGAAGGAGAGAGGCGGAAACAGGAAGGAGCCGGCCGAAGGTGGGGGATTCGGATTTGGTGCAATCCGGGCTGGGGACCCCTGGGCTCCAGCTGGGAGTCCGGAAAGCCAGGGAGGCTCTGCCAGGCGGTCCGACCTCTCCCGCTCTCCCCTTCCTTCGGCCCTCAGGATCCGGCTGAAGAAGAACAGCAAGGAGGCTGCCAAGAACCGCGACCTGATCGCTGCTGCCATCCACATGAAGGCCCTGCCCAGTGAGTAGAGCCTCACCCGGGGGGGGGGAGAGGGGGCAGCTCGGGAACTGGGCTTGCCTCATTTCTTTTTTGCAAGCCAGGAGCTCTTCTCAGAACTCCTTGGGCGGTGGGTGTGTGGGGGGGGAACGGGAGGAGAGGGGGAGGCCACAGGAGAGACCGTTCAGTTTCTGGAGCAGAAAGTTGGCATCTGCTCCTCCCTCGGCTTGGGCTGCCCTCTTGCCGATTTCGGATTGTCCAAAGTGAGGGGAAGGCGGCCCACATTGTGTGTCCATCTCCATACTCGCTGTCACCCCTGGAGGGGTTCGACACACAGGGCTCCCCCAGCCCGGTCCCTTTTAAAGCCTGCAGGAAGTGGGGGGGGGCCTCAAGCCTGGCTGGAAATTGTGGGCAGCAGAGTGTAAGATCCCACCCCCCCTTCCCCATCCTCTGAAAAAAAAAGAAAAGCGGGGGGGGGGACTCTGTGACGAGGGAGCACCGATTGGGTGATGCTCATGCCCAGAGGGGGGGTTTCGTCTTTCCCCTCCTGTTTTTGTCGAACTGACCGCTGAGCCTTGCGACTCAAAACGATTCCTGCCCTGGAGTCTCCGGCCAGGATCCAGCCTGATATTTGCTCCCTGCCACCACCCAACCTCTTTAGCTAAACTGGACAGGCATCATAAAAATCACTTTTTTGGAGGAGAGACAAGAGACACTCCCTTGAAGGGGACGTTCCTGCTCTACCGGTATACCTTTCCATGGGGCACAGGAGGCCAGTAGAGCAAAAGCTTCTTCCTCAAGTAAGCCCCTCTGATCTCTCCTCCAGACAGTTACTTTTCGGCACGTATTTCCAGTCTGTTGTTTTGTCAAAGGAGAACTCCAGCGTCGCATCTTGTTATATCAATCCAGCGCTATATCATGCTTCAAAAAATTTTCATTGGGAAGATGCCCCACTAGCACACCACTACCACTGGAAATTTTGACCCATATAGTCAATCACACATACTAGACAGCGATTGGGGGGGGGGAACCACAGTAGCATCGCTACAAGAAATCACAGGCCCCTGGCAATGGAACCACGGGAAAAAAAAGAGAGAGACCAGGCTTACTTGCAGTGAGCGGCAGATTGAGTATTTGAGGAAAATTTAACTGTGCCAGCTCTGGCACAGTCTGGGGTAAATTGCAGTTTAATCCACCCTTTCTTACCCCCATTCTCTCAATAAGCCCCAGGTCGCTCTCCACGTCTGTTCTACTTACTCCCAGGGGCTGCAAAGAAGAGCAGGAAGTGGACACCCCAGCCCGCTTGGTCTAGACTCTAGAGGGTGCCCGTCGCCTTCAGGGCCACATGGTGGGGGGGCGGTTTCTCAAGGGGGGAGCCTGCAGTGAAAGGTCTTGCCCAGACCGTTGCAGAAGGGAGGCATCCAATCCTCCCTGCGCAGCCCCCCGGATGCTCCAGGGAACCCACCCGGCCAGGGAGATCCAGTCGAGTTGTGCTCATTCTATTTAGCAACAGCAGCAGCAGTCGTTGGGAGCAGAGGGGTGTGTGCGTTGTTGTTACTGAGTTTTACCATGTTTCCGCTTGATTCCTAGGATATTTTTGTGGCCAACACAAAGAAGAGCCCCGGGGTCAGGGATCAGACTCATATAGCTTGTTGTGGCCTCACCTGTCATGGGCCCGCTCACCTGGGAAGCCCCCCCCCCATTGAGGCGCCACCAGAGCAGAGGGTTAGGAAGGTCCTTTTCCGCCGGCCCTGAGCTATAGTTCAAAAGAAAAGGGCTCTGCATTCATGGATATTTTTTCCTGTAGGTCTGTCTCTGGTTTGGTCTTCTTCATTTCCCTTCTGCCCTGACTCTGAAAAAGAGACCGTGCGGAAACACCGATCCCGTGGCCCTCCAGGGGGTGAAAAGCAACCCTTTCCCACCCTGGCGCCCTCCAGATGTTTTGGATCTAAACTGCCAGGGTTCCTGACCGTCGGCTGGGGCTAATGGGAGCTGTGATCCAAAACACCAGGAGGCAGATAGGTTGGGAAAGGAAGGCTGGAGGGGGACCTCCTAAGGGGGGGGGGATGGTCAAGACCAAAGAGGCCACTTTGCAATTTTAATTTAAAATAAAAAATGTAAGGGTTTTTCTTAAGAGAAAATTGGGTTTATCTAAAAAGGGGGAGAGGGTTTAACTGAAAAGCCCTTTTGTACTTTCAAGTGGCAAGAAAGGTTATTCCAATTAAAAATGAGTGGGGCAGGGTTTCGGGGGGGGCTCATGCCATGGCAAAATGGCCCCTCACCACATATGGTCCATTGGTCCAGATAGGCGGGGTACAAATCAAATAAATAATAATAATAATAATATGGGGGCCGGA